CTGTAGTGGGAGGAAGGCGGTGTAGAGGTCGTCCTAGGAAAGGTTGGAGGAAAGAGATGAAGGAGGTTTTGTGTGCGAGAGGCTTGGACTTCCAGCAAACATGCATGAGCGTGTTAGATAGGAGTGGAGACAAATGGTTTTTAGGACTTGACGTGCTGTTGGAGTGTGAGCACGGCAACAAACATTTATGAAGGGATTCAGGGAAACCGGCAGGCCGGACTTGAGTCCTGGAGAATGGAAGTACAGCACCTACACTCTGAAGGAGGGGTGTTAATGTTGCAGTTTTATAACTGTAGTGTAAGCACACCTCTAGCAAGACAGTGATGGAGTGAATGATGATGAGAGTTTTTCTTTTTCGGACCACCCTGCCTTTGTGGGAAACGGCCGACATGCTAAAAAAAATTATTATCATTAATATTATTATTATGGGGAAGCACTGAACCCATAGGGGCCATAAAGACCCTGGGAAATGAGAAATACTCGAATTTTGTATAAGAAAAGGGTCTATCAAGGCATCATGAGGTGTGCCAGTGCAGAGATGTAGGCTGATAAAAGATAGCCTCAAGATTGGCTCTCATGGACGAGCAGTGACATTCTAGGTCCTGGCACTGTTTTATGAGAGGGTTATTCCAGCTGGATTATTTGTGTACCAATGGTGCCACTAGTGATACCAGACTCTCGCCTACCTCTGCTGAACCACCTGTGTGTACTGCTCTACTTTGCTACACTGCTAATTTGATTGCTGTGAAGGCTGGTGAGGTAACGGAACCAGCCAGCTAGTCTGGAATTGTAATAATAATAATAATAATAATAATAATAATAATAATAATAATAATAATAATAATAATAATAATAATAATAACAACATGGGGCACGTTTCACTCATGCTGGGGAGCGATCATAGACCGTAAAGGAAAAAAGAAAGATTTATAACTTTTTCTAATCCTGGCTTTACAAGGCTGTCGTGTTGAATTTGCAACTGCTGAGGAACGAGCAACACTGCTGTCAGTAGGTTTGCTTGGGAAGGGAAACACGGTGAGAGCGAGTGTTTCACCTTTTTCCACCCCCTCTGCTGTGCAGTTACCAACCGTTCATACATGTTACTGTTGTCTCTCTCTCTGCTTCCGTTTCAGGGCGTGATTCCCGCCAGGTTATAATTATGTCCCGTTTCTAGAAATTACTTCGTCGTCAACCTCTGATCTAGATTCAGTTGACCCGCGTTTTCTTCCCTGCTTCTGGAGAACATAAACACAGATACAGTATAATGCAATCCTTTATTGGCAACGTTTCGCCCACACAGATCTACAAACCTGGGTGAATAGTACATGAGTATTTATTGGGTGGAGAATCTCCTCCTTCCTTGTTGCTGTTGTTGTACACTGCCATGACCTCTTATCTAGGGTTGGCAAGACGTGCACATGTGAGGGTAGAGGTTGACCAGGGGTTCCCAGCCAGGGGTGGGAGATGCCATTTCAGGGGGAGCAACAAAGAATCCTGATGAAAAGCAAAATTCAATTTATTTTATCCACAGGACTGTATTTCAGTTTGTGGTTCAAAAATTAGAAATTTGACTTTATCTTCAAATGTGATATTACTTTTGCAGGGGATTTCAACATCAATCAAATATTTCCTAGGGGTGCGGGGCATAGAAAAGGTCTTGATCAGGCCCTGATTCATCACGAGGCCTGGTCACTGACCGGGCCGCGGGGGCGTTGACCCCCGTAACTCCCTCTAGGTATATTCAAGGTACCTAGGCACTCCGGGTGTCAGCTAAACAAACCCAAAATTTAGAAGTTGGATGATGAAAAGGATCTTTGATTTTTTGGGGGGGGATGGCCACAAAATAAAATGGGAAAGAGAAAGACTGAGGTTAGAGAGAGAGAGAGAGAGAGAGAGAGAGAGAGAGAAGAGAGAGGAGAGAGAGAGAGGGGGGGGAGAGAGGAGAAATAAAAGTTAAGATGGTTAAGTGTCCTTCCTGTCCACTTAGGGTGGATTTTTATAAGAGTAGTTTTTATCATTGAATGTTAGTGATAACACACCTGCCAGCTGGGACTGACCCCCACTCACCTGCCAGCTGGGACTGACCCCCACTCACCTGCCAGCTGGGACTGACCCCCCACTCACCTGCCAGCTGGGACTGACCCCCCACTCACCTGCCAGCTGGGACTGACCCCCCACTCACCTGCCAGCTGGGACTGACCCCCACTCACCTGCCAGCTGGGACTGGACCCCCCTCACCTGCCAGCTGGGACTGACCCCCCACTCACCTGCCAGCTGGGACTGACTCCCCACTCACCTGCCAGCTGGGACTGACCCCCCACTCACCTGCCAGCTGGGACTGACCCCCCACTTACCTGCCAGCTGGGACTGACCCCCCAACTCACCTGCCAGCTGGGACTGACCCCCCACTCACCTGCCAGCTGGGACTGACCCCCCACTCACCTGCCAGCTGGGACTGACCCCCCACTCACCTGCCAGCTGGGACTGACCCCCCACTCACCTGCCAGCTGGGACTGACCCCCCACTCACCTGCCAGCTGGGACTGACCCCCACTCACCTGCCAGCTGGGACTGACCCCCCACTCACCTGCCAGCTGGGATGACCCCCACTCATCTGCCAGCTGGGACTGACCCCCCAACTCACCTGCCAGCTGGGACTGACCCCCACTCACCTGCCAGCTGGGACTGGACCCCCCACTCACCTGCCAGCTGGGACTGACCCCCACTCACCTGCCAGCTGGGACTGACTCCCCACTCACCTGCCAGCTGGGACTGACCCCACTCACCTGCCAGCTGGGACTGACCCCCCACTCACCTGCCAGCTGGGACTGACCCCCTCACCTGCCAGCTGGGACTGACCCCCACTCACCTGCCAGCTGGGACTAACCCCCTCATCTGCCAGCTGGGACTGACCCCCTCACCTGCCAGCTGGGACGGACCCCCCACTCACCTGCCAGCTGGGGACTGACCCCCCTCACCTGCCAGCTGGGACGGACCCCCCACTCACCCGCCAGCTGGGACTGACCCCCCTCACCTGCCAGCTGGGACTGACCCCCCTCACCTGCCAGCTAGGACTGGACCCCCCTCACCTGCCAGCTGGGACTGGACGCACCTCACCTGCCAGCTGGGACTGACGCCCCTCACCTGCCAGCTGGGACTGACCCCCCTCACCTGCCAGCTGGTACTGACTCCCCTCACCTGCCAGCTGGGACTGACCCCCTCACCTGCCAGCTGAGACTGACCCCCCTCACCTGCCAGCTGGTACTGACTCCGCTCACCTGCCAGCTGGGACTGACCCCCCTCACCTGCCAGCTGGGACTGACCCCCTCACCTGCCAGCTGGGACTGGCTCCCCCTCACCTGCCAGCTGGGACTGACCCCCCTCACCTGCCAGCTGGGACTAACCCCCCTCACCTGCCAGCTGGGACTGACTCCCCTCACCTGCCAGCTGGGACTGACCCCTTTCACCTGCCAGCTGGGACTGACCCCTTTCACCTGCCAGCTGGGACTGACCCCCTCACCTGCCAGCTGGGACTGACCCCCCTCGCCTGCCAGCTGGGACTGACCCCCCCTCACCTGCCAGCTGGGACTGACCCCCCACTCACCTGCCAGCTGGGACTTACCCCCCACTCACCTGCCAGCTGGGACTGACCCCCTCACCTGCCAGCTGGGACCCCCCACTCACCTGCCAGCTGGAACTGACCCCCACTCACCTGCCAGCTGGGACTGACCCCCTCACCTACCAACTGGGACTGACACCCCACTCACCTGCCAGCTGGGACTGACCCCCTCACCTGCCAGTTGGGACTGATACCCCACTCACCTGCCAGCTGGGACTAACCCCCCACTCACCTGCCAGCTGAGACTGACTCCCCACTCACCTGCCAGCTGGGACTGACCCCCACTCACCTGCCAGCCTTGACTGACCCCCACTCACCTGCCAGCTGGGACTGACCCCCTTCACCTGCCAGCTGGGACTGACCCCCACTCACCTGCCAGCTGGGACTGACCTCCCACTCACCTGCCAGCTGGGACTGACCCCCCTCACCTGCCAGCTGGGACTGACACCCCACTCACCTGCCAGCTGGAACTGACCCCCTCACCTGCCAGCTGGGACTGACACCCCACTCACCTGCCAGCTGGGACTGACCCTCATTCACCTGCTGGGACTGACACCCCCACTCACCTGCCAGCTGGGACTAACACCCCCACTCACCTGTCATCTGGGACTGATACTCCCACTCACCTGCTGGGACTGACACCCCCACTCACCTGCCAGCTGGGACTGACACCCCCACTCACCTGTCAGCTGGGACTGATACTCCCACTCACCTGCTGGGACTGATACCCCTACTCACCTGCCAGCTGGGACTGAGACCCCCACTCACCTGGCAGCTGGGACTAACCCCCTACTAACCTGCTAGCTTGGTCTGATCCTCCACTCACTTAGCACCTGAGATTGACCCCCACTCACCTAGCAGCAGGGACTGACCCCTCCCTCATTCACCTGGCAGCTGGGACTGATAAATCATCCACTCAGACTGTAAATATTTCTCTTTGTAATTTAAGCTTATATGACCTACGTCTGATGAGGGTGTCAGACCGAAAACGCAATATACAAATCAACATTTATTCTGCCTTTGTTTACATGCGGGTTTTCTCATTCAACTGAGAAGTGTTCACGACGCTTTGTTGATTTTTTATTTTGTCTTTGTCTTTATTCTTGGCCCCTCTTCCTCGTCTCATTCACCTGGGCATTTTTGGGGGGTTATAGGCTAGCAAGGATTTGAAGGGAAAGGATTGGGTTAGGATGGAGTAGCGTAAAGGTTTTTGGGTAAATAGGAAGAGATAGCTAAGAAAGAGTGAGTGGCCTGACCACTTTAGGTTATGTTGTTAAGCTGTTTGTATCACCTAGGGAAGAATGTTTGGCGCTTACCTAATGTCCTCTCCTCGTCTTATTCTCTGGTTTTACCTAACTTCCTCTCCTCTTATCTCCTCACAGCACGCAAACAACGTGCGACGACTGGCTGAGGAGAAGCGTCACCAGCAGCACGACCAGCAGCAGCAGGTCGGTGGGGGTCGTAGGTTTTCCAGTAAGTGGGAGATCCCTCAGTACGACGTAGTCTACAGGCAGGACGTCACTCCTGGCTCCTTCTTCGCCCGAGACAACGTGCACAACTTCATCTCGTGGTGCCGAGACCTGGGCATCTACGAGGTGCTGCTTTTTGAGACGGATGACCTGGTGCTCAGGAAGAACGAAAAACATGTCATTCTGTCCCTGCTGGAAGTGGCTCGCCGTGGTGCACGGTTAGTCAATATTATTGTTTTCGAACACTCCTCTTGTGAACAGACTGACTGGTGTTGAAGAAGCCAGGCTTAGGCTTGGTTACATATACTAACTGATATTGTAATAACCAGGCTTAAGCTTGGTTACAAGTACATCTGGCAGTTTGGGAGACATAGATGATGATCAGACCAAATGCAAAGTACGTGGCCAGCCCTGTAGTGACTATCTTGAACACTATGTATGTGCCTAATTGTCCACTGATTCAGGAATATAGAGATAGACAGTATAATAACCTGTGATATGTCAAGATATCTGCTTAATGAAAATAAGATACTAGACATATGAAGCAAATTTCCTAAATTTCCTTGTAACAGATGTAGTCCTGTTAACCTTTTTGGGGCCTAGTTCCTAGGCCTTTTTTGTACCCATATGCTCTTGCGCTACCCTCCACAGGATGGATATACCGTGCATAATAAACTAGCAACTTCGGTGGCAAAATGTAAAACCCTCTTCTCTCCGCTTCCCTTTTCCTCCTTTTCCATCAGGTGCCCTATAAATTTTAGAGTTTCCTTTTTATTTATGTTTTCTTCTGCTTTCTCGTCTCATATTTTTATTCTTTCTGCTTTCCTTTCAATACGCTTCGACTATCAATATAATAAGTACTTACGCTATCATGACTGGATGCAGCCATAGGGTGCGGGTACACTATTCTCTGTGGTAGCTGCATGATGGCTACACACACACTGTGAGGCTGTCCTGTTCTCTGTGGTAGTTACACTGGAGAAAGACTGGAGGTGTGCTGCTACATGATAGTTATATAGAGGGAAGCTAGCTAGATTTATGTTATTCCATCACACAGGATGGAATTTTCCCTCTCGTGTTTCATCACACAGGATGGGTTTATCCCTCTCACAGTCCATCACACAGGATGGGTGTTTCCCTCTCACAGTCCATCACACAGGATGGGTGTTTCCCTCTCACAGTCCATCACACAGGATGGGTGTTTCCCTCTCACAGTCCATCACACAGGATGGGTGTTTCCCTCTCACAGTCCATCACACAGGATGGGTGTTTCCCTCTCATAGTCCATCACACAGGATGGGTTTCCCCTCGTATTCCATCATGCAGGGTAGGTCTCATGCGTCAGGCTATGACATCTGTCAGCCTGAGCTGGGAGACTTCAGAAAAGCGGTGAGGATGTGGTCATTCCACCTAGAAGTATAGAATAGGTTAGGATGGGAAGTCGGTGGACAGAATTAAGGTTAAGTACTGGGAGAACCTATGACTTTTCCACGACATCAATAAGAATAATAATAATATAATGATAATGATAATATAATAATTATAGTTATAATAATAATAATTGTGATCACAATAGTTCTTTATCAAACATCATAGTTAATTTTTTTTGCACATTATTTCTTAGCATGAAACTGACTGATTATTATGATAAAGTCAGAGTATTTTTACTAATATCATCTTATCATCAATAGTCATTCGTGGGTTTTGTCAAGATAGCAGTTATTTTCTTGTTGATAATCTAGATGATGTAGTTGTTGCGGTTACATGGTATCAGATACTATAAACAATGACGTGATTTGTTACAAAGAACAATACCATGACTGGAACAGTGCAGAAATAGCCCGCACATAAGACAGACAGAGAGAGAGAGAGAGAGAGAGAGAGAGAGAGAGAGAGAGAGAGAGAGAGAGAGAGAGAGAGAGAGAGATCTTACGATGACGTTTCAGTCCCACTTGTTAAACAACCACATGTGTTGTCACTCGTGCAGTTTAAGTGAGCGTTTGGCTTCAAGCGCGTCATTAGCATGACTAATTATAATGGTCCGGTGATCATTGGCTGGAGAGTAAGACTGAGCAAGCCATCCCACCTACCTCTCAGTTACACTTATGTGAGTATCTCTTACTTATGGTGTGCAGCTAATTTCTCGATTATCTTTAGGTTCGCTTAGGTAAGGTTAGGTTAAGTTAGGTTAGGTTAGGCTAAGTTAATTTACGCTAGATTAGGTTAGGGTAAGTTAGGGTAGGTTAGGTTAACTTAGGTTAAGCTAGGTTTGGTCAGGTTAAGTTAACTTAGATTAGGATAATTTAGGATGGGTTAGATTAAGTTAGGCAAGGTTAAGTTAGATTAGGTTTAGTTAGGGAAGGTTAACTTCTGTTAGGTCATGTCAGGTTAGGTTAGGATAGGTCATGTCAGGTTACGTCATATCAGGTTAGGTTAGGTTTTGTCAGGTTATGTTAGGTCATGTCAGGTTAGGTTAGGTCATGTCACGTTAGGTCTTGTCAGGTTAAGTTAGGTCATGTAAGGTTAGGTTAGGTTCGGTCATGTCAGGTTAGGTTAAGTCATGTCATGTTAGGTTAGGTTAGAACATAAGAACGAAGGAACACTGCAGAAGGCCTACTGGCCCATGCGAGGCAGGTCCAAGTCTCCTACCGGCTTAAGCCAATGCACCCAACCTAGTCAGGTCAGGTCACATTGACTTAAGGGAGGAACACGGCAACCGACCTGGTAGCACAAGCTATCAGGTCCAACTCACACCCACCCACATCCACTCATGTATTTATCCAACCTATTTTTAAAGCTACACAACGTTCTGGCCTCTATAACTGTACTCGGGAGTTTGTTCCACTCATCCACAACTCTATTACCAAACCAGTACTTTCCTATATCCTTCCTGAATCTGAATTTTTCCAACTTAAAACCATTGCTGCGAGTCCTGTCTAGGCTAGGTCATGTCAGGTTAGGTTAGGTCATGTCAGGTTAGGTTAGGTCACATTAGGTTAGGTCTTGTCAGGTTAGGTTAGGTCATGTCAGGTTAGGTTAGGTTAGGTCATGTCAAGTTAGGTTAGGCCATGTCATGTTAGGTTAGGTCATGTCAGGTTAGGTTAGGTCATGTCAGGTTAGGTTAGGTCATGCCAGGTTAGGTTAGGTTAGGTCAGGTTAGGTTAGGTCATATCAGGTTAGGTTAGGTCATGTCAGGTTAGGTCATGTCAGGTTAGGTTAGGTCATGTCAGGTTAGGTTAGCTAATGTCAGGTTAGGTTAGGCTAGGTCATGCTAGGTTAGGATAGGTCAGGTTAGGTCAGGTCAGGTTAGGTCATGTCATGTTAGGTTAGGTCATGTCAGGTTAGGTTAAGTTAAAACATATCAGGTTAGGTTAGGTTAGGTCATGTCAGGTTAGGTCATGTCAGGTTAGGTTAAGTCATGTCAGGTTAGGTTAGGTCAAGTCAGGTAAGCTTAGGTTAGGTCATGTCAGGTGAGGTTAGGTCATGTCAGGTTAGATTAGGTAATGTCAGGTTAGGTTAGGTCATGTCAGGTTAGGTTAGGTCATGTCAGGTTAGGTTAGGTCATGTCAGGTTAGGTCATGTTAGGTTAGGTTAGGTCATGTCAGGTTAGGTTAGGTCATGTCAAGTTAGGTTAGGTCATGTCAGGTTAGGTTAGGCCATGTCAGGTTAGGTTAGGTCATGTCAGGTTAGGTTAGGCCATGTCAGGTTAGGTTAGGTCATGTCAGGTTAGGTTAGGTCATGTCAGGTTAGGTTAGGTCATATCAGGTTAGGTAGGTCATGTCAGGTTAGGTTAGGTCATGCCAGGTTAGGTTAGGTCATGTCAGGTTAGGTTAGGTCATGTCAGGTTAGGTTAGGTCATGTCAGGTTAGGTTAGGCCATGTCAGGTTAGGTTAGGTCATGTCAGGTTAGGTTAGGCCATGTCAGGTTAGGTTAGGTCATGTCAGGTTAGGTTAGGCCATGTCAGGTTAGGTTAGGTCATGTCAGGTTAGGTTAGGTCATGTCAGGTTAGGTTAGGTCATGTCAGGTTAGGTCATGTCAGGTTAGGTTAGGTCATGTCAGGTTAGGTTAGGTCATGTCAGGTTAGGTTAGGTCATGTCAGGTTAGGTTAGGTCATGTCAGGTTAGGTTAGGTCATATCAGGTTAGATTAGGTCATGTCAGGTTAGGTTAGGTCATGTCAGGTTAGGTTAGGCCATGTCAGGTTAGGTTAGGTCATGTCAGGTTAGGTTAGGCCATGTCAGGTTAGGTTAGGTCATGTCAGGTTAGGTTAGGTCATGTCAGGTTAGATTAGGTCATGTCAGGTTAGGTTAGGTCATGTCAGGTTAGGTTAGGCCATGTCAGGTTAGGTTAGGTCATGTCAGGTTAGGTTAGGCCATGTCAGGTTAGGTTAGGTCATGTCAGGTTAGGTTAGGTCATGTCAGGTTAGGTTAGGTCATGTCAGGTTAGGTTAGGTCATGTCAGGTTAGGTTAGGCCATGTCAGGTTAGGTTAAGTTGTCTTGTACCTGACAAGATAGTCAGTTACAACCTACATAACTATGAGATATAAAGTATAAATCCGAGAGTGCTGAAGCACTGAGCGAAGCTTCACTGAACTCTCATATTTTCACTGTTGAAGATACCTTCATCAGTCACATATCTGACTGTACAGCAGTGAAATGATGCCTGTGTAGACAACCTTGGTCACTTCTAGTGTGTCTCTCACTAACCCAGGACAGCACTTAATTATACCTAGGTTAACTAAGTGACATTATCAGTCCTCGGTTTTTAACAGTTATCTTACAATGTTAACTTTGATCCTATATTAAAACTTTGGCATACGGAAAAAACTGAATATTTTTTTTAACTATTTTGCTCCTTATCCTACCCCCCCCCAAAAAAAAACACTTTTTCCTCCCTCCTTTCTTTGGAGGGAGGTGGAGGGAGGGTGCTGGAGGGAGGGAGGTGGAGGGATGGTGGTAGAGGGACAGTGGTAGAGGGAGGGAGGTGGAAGGATGGTGGTGGAGGGAGGGTGGTAGAGGGAGGGAGGTGGAGGGATGGTGGTGGAGGGATTGTGGTGGAGGGAGGGTGGTGAAGGGAGGGAGGTGGAGGGAGGGAGGTGGAGGGAGGGTGGTGGAGGGAGGGTGGTGGAGGGAGGGAGGTGGATGGAGGGTGGTGGAGGGAGGTGGATGGAGGGTGGTGGAGGGAGGGAGGTGGAGGGAGGGTGGTGGAGGGAGGGTGGT